CCCAGCTGACCCCGGTACACCCGTCTCCGGGTGTCAATCGCTGCTGCTGCAGGGTGACTCGGGAAGGGGCTGCAAACGTGAGGTTGCACCAGACCTGGGGGCTGCGCCGCGAGCAAAAGGGGCCACAGGGGGACGACCCCCACCTTCACCCCCGGGTGAGCGGGCGCAGGCAGCGGCGCTGCGGTCAGGCGGGGGGGTGCGCCTGAAACACCTTTGCGAAGCTCTTTGCTGCCTTGCCGTGAAATGCCCGAGAGCCTTGCAAAGCCAGCAACCTGCCCCAGGGGCTTACACGTCCGAGGCGCGGGTCTATCGGCTCGGGTCCCAGGCAGCCGGGGGGCTGGCGCTCCTCTCCCTCCGTCCCAGGGGCAGGCAGGGGAGCTCCCTGGCTGCGGAAAGCACGGGGACTCTCCCGTCCCACTGCCCACGAGCGGAGAACCCCCTCTCCCTCCAGACCTGCGCAAGGGAAACCTGGAGTCAGCTGGGCAAAGCCGCACACAACTGTTTGCAGCTGGAGGATTAAAATTGCAGATTGGTTGAAAAGCAGGGATGCAAAATACCTTCCGAGTGAGCCCAAAGCTGGTAGAGTCCCGCCAGCATGGCAAGGCCCTCTGTGAGTCAGCGTTTTAATCATTACCATCCCGAACAGATCCCGCTTGTTAGAGCTGTCGAAGGACGATGACGGGGAATAAAGCGTTTCCCACGTATTGGTGAAGTTCATCGATGAAAGCATGGGGTCTGGAAACCGGCTGTGCATTTGCTATAGGCACACAGGTCATTTCTGGGTTTGTGTCTGGCTGTCCCCGGGGGCAGAGCGATGGGTTTTGGTTGTTTTCTTGCCTGAGAGAGCGCGTACAGCTAAAAAAATGCTGGCGTGTCTGCTCCATCCGTTCACACATGCTATTCCCACCACATGCCAGGAGAAGAACAGCGTCTCTGGGTGTGAAGCTGCGCCGTGGGCAGCCGCCGCAGTTGGCAGGATCACGCAGCTCTTTGCCCGGGCTATTAAAAATGTCCCTTCCAATTAAAGTCACAGGGATCTTTAAAGTCACCGGCAACGCTGTCACTTGCGCTGGCTGTCAGCAAACGAAGCCGCGTGCTGGGACAGGCCTGCCCGCGCCGCTGCAGCTCCCTTCTGCATTTACAGCTCAGCCCCAGTGAGCGGGAGCCAGAGCTTCTGTGGGCTTATCCAGCCCCCCACAGACCCATGGGACCACAACAGTCCCCGTCGTATCGCTGCTGGCCTTTCCTGCCTCAGGCAAAAGCAGGATTTGGTCTTGCTGTGTTGATAGATTTTGCACTTAGAGGGCGCTTCATGCAATGTTCTTGCAGTAAAGGAGATTAAATACAGCTGTGCCTGGCTCACAGCTGGGTAAACTGAGGCACGGAGCCGGGCGGTCTGAGATGCGAGGGTAGATGGGCGGAGGGCTGGACGGGGCATAGATGTTCGGAAGCTGATGTTGGCACTTTGCTCCGTACGTCGCGGGGCCTGGGGGGCTGTGGCGGGGCTGGGTGCTGCCCGGTCACCCGTGGGAAGAGCCCACAGGTCGCAGCCTGCATCGCCTGAGCCGTGCGTCCCACCTGTGAAGCGATGCTGAAGGCGTTTCCCTCGGGCTTTCCCACTGCCTAGAAACTTGCTTTTGGTTTGGTCTTGGATGGGAAGAGAAAAAAATCACCTGAAAGGAAAGCTCAGCTGAGTTTCGGTGGTAACGCAGAAAGCTGCCGGTCACTCCGGGCAGCC